TGATATTGTGATCACATGGCGTGACACTCAGTCGATTGTGCAACTTCAGTAGCATCTCAACACTACTTTTCACATGAAAGATCTTGGTTCTCTATAGTATTTTTTGGTCTTGAGGTGCATTCCTGTCCTAATGGTCTGCTTCTACATCAACACAACTATACTTAAGAGATTCTCACCTCAACTAGTCTTCAATCTGGGAATCTCGTACTTACACTTTTGGAAGTAAATGTCAAGCTTAGGTAAGATGAAGATCCATCCCTATATCGACAATTTGTAGGAAGTTTGAACTATTTGACAATTAGTCAACCTGATATTTCTTTTGCTATATAACAGGTTGGTCAGTTTATGCAAGCTCCACGCTAACCTCATTTGGCAGCCATACGAGGAATTCTTCGTTACCTCAAGGGTACATCTAGTCGAGGGTTGTTTGTCCCTACAGGATTATTTTACAGTTAAAGGGTATAGTAATGCCGATTAGGGTGGTTGTGTAGAGTGGACACTTGACATTCAGTTACTGGTTGATGCATGTTTCTTGGTGATGCATTTGTATCTTGGAAGAGTAAGAAGTAGGATCAATCTTGAAGTCCTCTACCGAATTTGAGTATTGTGCTATGTCGTCCGCTAGTTCAGAGATTGTGTGGTTTCAGTGTTTGTTAGGAGAGCTTGGTATCCCTCAACTTGCATCTACTCCGCTTTATGCTGATAACACAAGTGCTATTAAGATTGTTGCCAATCTTGTATTTCATGAACGCACCAAGCATACTAAAGTGGATTGTCATTCTATTCGTGAAGCCCTTGATCAACATGTGATTACACTTCCTCACATTTCCATCGAACATCAAATTGTTGATTTTTTACCAATGCCCTATCTCGTCATTGTAATCGTCATCGGTTCATGATTGACAAATTGATACTTTTTGATCAACCTACATCAATTTGAGGAGGATATTAGCCATATATAGCAGCTTGAGCTAAGGAATATTATTGTCAAAATCTTTATATTCTATGATTTATATTTGGTAAATAGGTTAATTTAGTTTTTTACCGAATTTAGATAAAAAACATACTATAACTGTTGTAATTCTTGGCTTTATAAGAGAAGGGGATTCCCTCGATTTAAGAGGCAATTGAAAATAATTTAACAGTTCTGCCCATTAGGGCTCATCTAATGAGTACCATCATATGATATTTGGACGAGTGCTTTAGTTCAAAACTAGAGTTTGATTTCCTATGTGTATTACAGGATGAGTATGCTCAGTTTTTAGCTTATAATGGGTCACTTCCACTTTTGTGAGTACTTTCGCTTAGGCAGGTAATGTACCTTCTCATTGACTATTATCATCCTCTCACAATTTGTGGATTATCGAGTCTGGAGCAACTGAACACAAGACGGGTTCGTCTACTTTTCTTCTTGATTTTAATCATGTTAATTCTTCTAAATATGTCGCTCTTGTTAACTATTCCTAAACTAGTGTTACAAGCTCAAGTAATGCTCGTCTTAGTTTTAATAATGATTTGTTATCTGTTCTTCATGTTTCTAGCTTTTCCTTTAGTTTATTGCTTATAAGTAAAATTATTACAACTCTTCAATGTTCTGTAATATTTTATCCTTTCATGTTTTTCAAGATCTTAATATGCGGAAGTTAATTAGTATGGAGCATGAAGTTGGTAGCTTATATTATATGGATTTTTCTCCAAGTCTTTCTACCTCGAGCTCTCGAGTACTTTGTTTCACCCATGCAGTGTCATTGTTGTCTTGGTCACCCTTCTTTTTCTATTTTAAAACATTAAGTTATGAATCTTCGTAACGTGTCTTTCCTTGAATGTGAAGCTTATCAGCTTAACAAATATCACCGTATGTCTTTTCTTTTAAGAACCATTAGTTGTGTTTCTAGTTTATTTGAGATAGTGCATTCTAATGTAAGAGGACCAATCAATATTTTCCATAATAAAATTCAGTATTTTGTCACTTTTGTAGATGATTATTCTCGTATTACTTGGTTTTTTTTATGAAAAATTGTTTTGAGTTACTTTCCATGATTTAAATGATTCGTACTATGATCAAAACTTAATTTAACCAAAAAAAAATGTATTTTACGATCTGATAATGCAAAGAATGTATGCTTCTTTTACATCATATCTCTTTTTCAAAGGTATTATTCATCAAACATCTTAAGCATATACTCCACACAAAAGGAAATTGCAGAGTGTAAAAATCATCATTTGTTAGAGATTACTCGTGTTCTTCTTTGTCATATGCATGTTCTTAGACGTTTTTGGAGTAATGCTATATTCAGTGCATGCTATCTCATTAATTGCATCCATCTTCATTTTTTGGGCGGAATATTCCATTTCTCTATTGTATTTTCCTCCTCTCCATAGTATTCGTTAGCTCTTAATTTCATTACTTTAGTCTTGGCCATGACAAACTTAACTCTCGCTCTATGAAATGCATTTTTCTTGGTTACTTCCAAACATAAAACGGGTATCGTTGTTACAGTTCTTCTCTGTAACACTACTTTGTAAGTATAGATATCACTTTCAACTAGTTCATAACCTATTTTTCTAATTATAGTACATCACTTGAATCCACTCGTGATCTTGTTAACTTAACCGTTCTATATTTAATAGTTGGTCTTTCTCCAAAACCAAACTCATCTCCATTTACTGCACTAGAGTCATTCTCTTCTTAAGAGAAACCACTGCCCCTTCCAAGTTTATACTCGATGATCCAAGCCACCAGTGCCTGCGGCCCCATCCGCTACCTTGCTGTCTTATATCCTACATCCGTCATCTCTTCTGATCCTAAGTTATTGCTCATTGCTCTTCGTAAAGATAAACGTACTTGTGTAATTAAACATCCTATAAGCAATTATGTCACTTTTGATTCGTTGTCGCATTTGTTTTCCTGTTTTGCTTCCTAACTTTTTAGTGTTTTTGTACCTAAGACAGTGACAGAGGGCTTATCTGATCTGAGTGACGAAAGGCTATGAAATTGAAAATGACGGCCTTGCTTGAGAATAAGGCTTGGAAACTTGTCCCTTTACCACCTGGGATACATCCCTTGGGCAATAGATGTGTTTATACTCCAATGTTCAATCCTAATTTTTCAGTGTTTTTGTACCTAAGACAGTGACAGAGGGCTTATCTGATCTGAGTGACGAAAGGCTATGAAATTGAAAATGACGGCCTTGCTTGAGAATAAGGCTTGGAAACTTGTCCCTTTACCACCTGGGATACATCCCTTGGGCAATAGATGTGTTTATGCTCCAATGTTCAATCCTAATAGGATTATTTATCTACTGAATGCCCGATTGGTTGTTAAAGGTTACACACAGACCCATGGTATTGATTATGATGAGGCATTTTCTCCTGTTGCTAAGATCTTTTCTATACTCATTTTTGATATATATTGCTACTAATCTTGGTTGGCCATTATTTCAAATGGATATTAAGATTGCTTTCCTTCATAGTGATTTACACGAAAAGGTTTATACAGAGCAACAACATGGGTTTGTTGCTTAGGGGAGTATCGAAACTATGTAAGTTGAGAAAGGCTTTGTATAGGTTAAAGCAATCACTAGACAAGATTCGATATTTTTTGGCTATTAAAGTCTCTAGCTCTTGAGCAAATATCAACTTATCTTAGAGAAGACGAAACAAGTTTTCTTGTGACTCATCTAGTTGATACTCCCATAGATCCTAATGTAAAGCTTTTGAAGGATGAAGGAGAACTGTGTAGGAAACCAGGAAAATATTATCATTTGGTTGGAAAATTAAATTATCTCACCATCACATGGCCAGATATTTCTTATGCAGTTATCGTTATTAGTCAGTTTTTTGGATGCTCCTCTGGTTTCTTATTGGTAAGCTGTGATACGTATAATTGAAATGCTCCTATGGATGCAAATTGAACAGGATTTCCGTTGGATAGATGATTTACTATTGGTTTTTGTACTTTTCTTTATGGTAATCTTATCTCTTGGAAAAGTAAAAAACAAACTGTAATTGCAAGGTCAAGTGCAGAAGCAGAATATAGGGTAATGACTCGTACTACTAGATGGTTGACATGATTGTAGCACTTTTTTTAATCAAGAAATCAATCTTTCACTTTCTACCCCTATTCAATATTTTGTGATAATCAATCTACTATACATATTGCTTCCAACTCTGTCTTTCATAAGAGGATCATGCACATTGAAGTTAATTGTCAATTTACTCGAGACAAAATAGTGAGTTGTGATATATGTATATCATTTGTAAAGATAGAAAACCAACTTGCTGATATATTTACAAAGTCGTTGAATAGTAATCGATTGAAGTTTCTGTGTTCCGATTTAGGCTTATAAGATATATATGCTCCAGCTTGAGGGGGAGTGTTAAGGAAATAAATAAATTAGAATAACATAGATTAAGCAAGAGTTTATTGGGTTTATTGTGTTTCCATGTTTGCACTCTAGTTCCATACTTGTAATATTGATTTATACTATAATGAAAGTGAAGGACGGGAAGACAATTATCTTCTTCTCTCCAAAGTTTATTGTATGTAATTTATATTCTAACAAGTTACAAATAATTTGAGAAGTGAAAATGTTAGAGATTGCTAATGGGGACTAAATGCCTTCTCAGAAGTTCGAAAAATGACAAACATGGTATTCTTTCTTTATCAACTTTTGGCACACTCATTGAACTATGTTTAGTAGTGATGTTTATAGGCTTAGTGGAAGCTCAGCATTCTGTGGGATTCTATCTTTGGTTCAACTGTTGGCCCTTGTTGAACTATGTTTAATATTGAATGTTTATAGGCTTAGTGGAAGCACAGTGTTCTGGACCTATTTTTTTTCTTTATTCCTGGTCAACTAGGCTACAAGAGTTTTCTTCTTTCTCGTCTGTTAGTGCTTTCATTGTTTACGTTTTACGCAACTGGCATATTTGCAGTCTTTTTTTGGCTGATGTTTGTTTCATTCATTAATTTTTCAATAAGTAAACAACTGTGGCAGGACAAAAGAGCCCACATGGAACGAGGAGTTTACTTTAAATATCAAGCAACAACCAGCACAGAATCTTCAGGTTGTAGTAAAGTCTTGTAAAACTTTCTTTAATAATCTAACTAGTTTGGTGACCAACACCCTTACATCCTTTATCTCTTTCTCCCTGCTTGGAATTTTCCAAATAGAAGTTATACTGCACTACATCTAAAGAATAAAACTGTTCCAGGTCAAGTTTCTGTATGCTCCATTTGCATGAGGTCGCAATTTAGCATTGGCTTTCAGGATCTGAAATATTTACCATGGATCATAGATGAAAAGAATCTGACCTTATTCTTGATAAGTGGTGCAACATTTAAAATTTATTAAAATTATACATTTATAAACTGATCTTTATTTTTACCATTTAGTTTTCAGTAACAATATATTTTTAGTTATAAAATCGAGCTTATCGTGTTTTTGACTTGATATAGAAAATATAGATTATATGCGCAAAGTATTAGTTCACGAGGTTCATTCTCATAAGAAATACAACATTTCTGCATAAAAAATTATGTCATATTGTAAGATGCTTATTCGTCACGTGTCTCTGATGACTTCGCTGTTTTTTTGGGTAAAATATTAAACTATAGGTAGCAGCTTGGGATGCAAATCTTGTGACTCCGCACAAGCGCATGGGAAATACTGCTATAGATTTGGAAAACCTCTGTGATGGTAAGATTTGAGAAATGTATGCAACATATTGATGTTTTGAATGATGAACTAGCATAAACTGTAACACTGTCAAGCGTCATTGTTTTGTTAGGAACTTATCTTGAAAATAACTTATGTCCCACAGACACCCAAGAGCATATGAATTGATATCATATCATTTTTTATTTTATTTTATTTTATTTTATTTTAATTTTTGGATATAAGCTAAATTTCATGGTATTAGTGACAATTGATGCATGTGTAATGTCTGGGATAGTGCATACCTGAGAAAGTTACCTAAAAGACAAAATCTTCTTCTGCTAGGAAATTTACATGAAGTGCTGCTTGATCTAGAAGGGATGGGAGGTGGTGGAAAGATACAGCTAGAGGTATGTTGCTTGGTCAGAATTTCTCACAACAAGGCAGATATTACGTGTAAATTGACTTAAACAAGGGTAATAATTCAAATTACATTTTATTTAATTTCTTGTCGGTCTCCTTCAAACAGTGAATTGCTATCCAAATTTGAACTTCCCATAGTTCAGCAGTACAGCTTTGAAGTTTCTTTGTCTATCGATTCACTATTTCTTTTCCTCTTCCTTTTTTTCCCCCTTGTGCTAAAAAACTTGTGTCTGACATCAATATATCACCCTTTAGTCTGGACAGAAATTATTCTTGTCCTGCAAGTAGTTATATTTTAAAAATCCATCGTAAACCAAAGGAAAAAAGAGTGTAGGTTGCTCCTATTGATTGGCTATTTATATTGATTAAAGTTGGACTATTAAAATGCAGACAATCCTGTTTCTTCCATTCCATTTTAAATCTAGAGATACGAGTAGGTCATGAACAAAGTGCTTGTCTAACTTGGGTGAAAAAGGAAAATACAAGAATTAATAATGTGGGAAAGCTATTGAAGATTTAAATATGTAAATAAATAAAGACTCCTTCTTTCTAATGTTTTAAACTTTTAGATGAAATAGTTTAATATGGTATCAGAGTTGCAATGTTCCATGGTTTAATTCTCACTACTAACCAATTATGTCAATTGCACGTAGAAAAATGAATATGTTAGGGAGTCTGTGGAATATATAAATATAAATAAATAGATTTCTTATTTCTCTATCAGCTTCATCTTTTAGATGAGACAGTTAAATGATTTCCATTTGCTTATCTTGTCTATCAATGTGTAACAACTGTGACACATTACTTCACATTTGTAGTTATTGGTTCTTAACAGAGCATTCCATCACGTAGAAGAGAAATAATGTTATCCGTGTTTAAAATTTCATTATGACTTGTTCTTCGATATGCTTTCCAATTTCATCAACTTTCCCCTCCTTTCCCTCCCAAATATCTGTCCGAACAAGTGAAAACTGGACCATCCTTTCCCACTCCTTTCCATATCAAAGCGTTCCTTTGATGGAAAGTTTAAGAAGGGGCAAAAGGATAAAACATGTTTATATTCAAACAGTTCTATCTTCCTGCTTTTGACGAAATGGAAAGGGAAATATATCATATTTGTTGATTCCTAAAATTGTTGGAACGTGAAATTATTTGGACAATCTACAATTGTGCTGCTAGTAAAATACATATGTTTGCTATAAAATTGAGGGAGTTGCTGAAATGCTTTTTGAAACTCTCAAATTGCTATGTCTTAGTATGTGTGCTTAACTAAATAGGATTTCGCTTTTCTTCGTAATGATGTGTTTCAGATTAAGTACAAGAGTTTTGAGAAAATTGAGGAGGAAAAGAAGTGGTGGAGGATCCCTATTGTGACAGAGTTTTTTGAAAAAAATGCCCTTGAACCTGCACTGAAGATGATTGTTGGGTCAGAAACTGTGCAAGCACGCCAGTTTGTGCAGTTCGCTTTTGGGCAGATGAAGTCACTTAATGATTCATATCTTCAGAAGGATTGGTTTTCTAATGACAAAGATGAGACCGAAAATTCCAGTGTCAAGCCTTCAAAGCTGGAGAATAATTTAGAGGCCTCTTCAAATGAGACAAGCCAAAAGGAAGGCAATGATAGGTCTGAGCCTGACCCAGCTAGTAATTCGACGGCTGATTTATGTAATTTCTCTCCAGTAGATCAAGTTGACGAGGCTTCACATTCGGATAAACATTTTTGGAAGAACTTAGCTGATTTGGTCAATCGAAATGTTGCCCAAAAACTTGGTCTCCCTGCTGCTGAGAAAATGAAGTGGGATCGATTTGAGTTGCTAAACAGTATTGGCTTGCAGTCGCGAAAAATTGCAGAGGTGGGCTATGTCGAGTCTGGGCTTGCAACTCCAGATAATCAGGACGCAGCAAATGGCGATACATCATCTGGCCTAATACCCAATAACATTTTTCAGACATCTCTAGTGGACATTAAGAAAGCAACACAAGATATATTACGACAAACTGATTCCATATTAGGAACGTTGATGGTTTTAAATGCTGCAGTTTCTAAATCAAACAAAGATGCCGGTCTTAAAGGGGAGAGTCACACCAACGATGATGCTTCTTCTGAAGTGCTAAAAGATATCTCGATATCTATGGAGAGCAAAATATTAACAAGTCCACGAAATGGACTAGTGTTAGATGAGAAGAAAGCTGAGGAGATGAGGGCACTCTTCTCAACAGCTGAAAGTGCCATGGAGGCTTGGGCAATGCTAGGGAATGCTTTGGGCCACCCAACATTTATCAAATCTGAATTTGAAAAGATCTGTTTCTTGGATAATGCTTCTACTGACACTCAGGCAAGTTTGTATCTAATTAGTCAGCATGCATCTTGCATCTTTATATATCTAGAAAGTCTATGAATAAATATTGTCTTATTTTTTCACATGTTTGTATGATCCAATTTTTTTTTTTTTTTTCACTGATCGTGAACTTTACAAGTGCTGTAGGTGGCACTTTGGCGTGATCCTGAAAGGAGAAGACTTGTTGTTGCTTTTAGAGGAACTGAACAGGTAGGTTATATTTTATGCAAACCAGTGGAATAGTAATATATCTTTTTCAGGTCGAAAATGTTGATATTTGATTTATCCAGTCTAGATGGAAGGATCTACGAACAGATTTGATGCTTGTTCCTGCCGGGTAATGAATTTGTTTCATAAACTATTAGGTCTGCTTAGTATTATTTTTTTAATGAAAATAAATATCTGTTCCTCGAATCTTTTAGTGAACTTGTAATGTCACCTGGTTCATAATTTAGGGGAAGCAAAACCAGAGGAAGTCTTCCCATGTTTCCTTTATCTACTACTGATTTTTACAACAGTATGGCACTTCAGTACAAATTATTAGGAGTCTCAGTGAGGCATCAGACTTCTAACTTAAATTGATAAAAGCTTTCCTGTTGATAACATCTACATGAGAAAAAATAAATGCCTGTTCAGACCGTAGATCAACAATTTGGCAGAATTATAATTCGTTTCAAGTTCTTTGCTGCGAATGCAATATTGACATTTCTTCATAGTATAATGTTCCCATCCTAGCTGAGCTACATTATAATCTTGCCTACGTGTCACATCTCCTCTTCGTCACTGATGATGCCTTTAGCATTTGCTTCAGGCGTTGAGTTTGAGTTATTGTTGCTGACTTCTTCGATACTTGTGTAGGCTAAATCCTGAAAGGATAGGCGGTGATTTTAAGCAAGAAGTTCAGGTATGATCGGTTTATTTTACGTTGACCTATTGTCAATTGGATAGTAATTATAGCCAACAACTTAGATAAGATACTATACATAGTAGATGTATAAATGGTAGAAATTATTTACTTTCCATATGTATAGTGATCGTTGAATTTGAGCCTTGTAATTTGGCATATTGGTCCTATATATACAGAGGAATCCTCAGAATGAGGATCATCGAGTTGTAACCGAAATTTGAGTACCTTTGTCATAGTATCAAAGTTTACAAACTAAAATTTCTGTTAGAACTCGATGATCCTCATTCTGAGGATTCCTCTGTATATATAGGACCAATATGCCAAATTACATGGCTCAAATTCAGTCATCACTGTACATATGGAAAGTAAATAAGTTCCTACCATTTATACATCTACTATGTATCTTTTCTAAATTGCTGGCTATAATTACTATCCAACTGACATAAATACGAAATCTGTTAAGAGTATGGATCATAGCAAACATAACCTTTGTGTGAAGCACTATAACCCATAAAAACACATTCGATAGATTGAGTAGAAAGTTTGTGTTGTTCATGAGGAGGTAAATGAACAAATTTTGTCTCTTCCGCATATTTCAACTGATCTTCAGATCACTAATGTATTCACCAAAGCAATGACTCATCAGTGCCATCTCTTTTTTGTGAGCAAATCGATGCTTCTTGATCACCCACATCAATTTAAGGGGGGGGGGTGTCAATTGGATAGTGCTTATAGCCAGCAATTTAGATAAGATACTATGCATAGTAGATGTATAAATGGTAGGAACTTATTTACTTTCCATATGTATAGTGATGGCTGAATTTGAGCCTTGTAATTTGGCACATTGTTCCTATATACACAGAGAAGTCCTCAGAGTGAGGATCATCGAGTTCTAACATAAATTTGAGTACCTTCACACCTATAATTTTGTTTATTTAAGATAAGGATAATTGGCATTTAACATTATCCACTTATTAATCATTAAATAGTTACTGATATCTGCAGGTTCATAGTGGTTTTTTGAGTGCATATGATTCTGTACGTACAAGGCTGATCTCGCTCATTAAGCAGGCTGTTGGTTATAGGTAGTCTTCTGTTTCTGAATTTTATTTTATGTATATGTTTATATTTCACAAAAGCATTGTGGAAGTTTTCGAGCCTTATATTCCTATGACTGTCAATTCTGTTACACTTAAAATAAATTTCATATAAGCATGTTATATTTATATTCTAGTAGTTCCTGCTGCCCTTACATTAGATTGTCTTCGTAGATGCTTTTATGTATTGTTATGCAGTGACTCATTTTCATACCAATATTGTTCTCCTTTTGCTTCCATATCTGTGATTTAAAGTATGTTATAATGTTCTCCTTTTGCATCTATATCTGTGATTTCGAGTATGAACTCGATGTATTGATTTTGCGTGTGAATTTGCATATGCACAACCCATCGTGCTTTTCTACTTCTGGAATCATATTTTCTTTCTTCTTTTCGACGACATACGTTATTATTGCACAAAAAATGGTGGCAGATTCTATAATCTGTTTCTATTGATTCTTCTACCAATATTCTTGTTTCTGAGTTTTTTCGAGCGTGTGATGCATGATAATTCTTGGCTCTCTTCGCCTGGAAGATCTTTCCAGCCGCCAAAGATCCTTCCTGCAGCCATTGCATTTGAGTAAACTTAGCTTTTATGACTGGAGGTTGTCCTTGGCCTTTCCATGTTCTCCTTTACCATCTAATTTGGAACAGATATTGTTTGATTATTTTGGACCACAGCCTTTCTTGATGTGTGATGTCCAGAATTTGCAGCTGATAGAGATGTCATGTCTCTAAAACTATCAAATTGTTTTTGCTTCCTGTAAATTAAGATTGGACATACAGATTTCTCTGTGTTTGACTATGCTGACTATCTTTACTAAGGGGAATTCAAAACCTCAGAAATCAAAATCTTGATTTAACTAATTGAGTATACCATATTTTTTCATGTGAGGAAATGGTTTTTGCTCTTATTTAGGCTTATTGGTCATTTTTTAATTTATTGTGAAGAAAGTATAACGCATTCTAACCATAGTTTGAATTTTCCCCAAGTAAACATCATTAGGAAAGAATACTATTTCTGCTTAATTATGTTGGCAAAGTGAAGCAACTATGTTGAGTTTATTTTTTATTTTATATTTTCATATAAGCATTGAAGATAAGCAACTATGTTGAGTTATAACCATAGCTTGTGCATTTTTTCCAAGTGAACATGATTGCAGCAGACCAATTGTGAAGAATCATGTGTTTCCCTTTACTAATATGTAAATGCATTTTGTACCAGAGATGATTCGCTGGAGCTTCTTCCCAAATGGCATATTTATGTGACTGGTCATAGTTTGGGTGGTGCATTAGCTACCCTCCTGGCTCTCGAACTATCAACAAGTCAATTAGCAAAGTAAGCTTGCAGTCTTCCCTGAACTTAAAATATTTCCTTTTGCTTGCAGCTTGTCATTTCTTGGTCAATTAACTAAGAAGTGAATAATGTTTCCAAGTCCAGTTGGTCCGTGATTTCTAGTTGAATAATTTTTTAGCAAGTTTTTATTATTTTTATTTTTATTTCTATTTTTTTTTCCTGCAATTTTGCTTCATATGGCTTTCACATGCACCAGTGGACAGTGACCCTGATATGATTGTACTGCAGTGTGGATGGGTTATTATATTTGAACTTCCTTTAGTGATAATGGTTTACTTATTAACAAAGAGTCAGAGACTGAAATGAGTCCTTTACGGACTTTTAATTGAATTTCGTAAGAATCTTTATACTTCACTTTTATTGAAGCAACCTAGTGATTGCATAGTAGTAAAATGGTTTGCATGATACTATATAAAGTGTAGGAAAACAAACTAGTCATTTAGAGAAGTAATTACTATTATGGTCTGAATATTAGGAGTTAGTTTCCTAATTTTTCTAGCTGATATTTTGTGTACCATAGATAGATAGGGTAATTTCTATTTTCTAGGGGCTGATTAAGGATCTGATTTTCAGATCTTTGTGTATAAATATGTATTCATTCTGATCAATAATATATATGAAAATATTCCCAAATCCTTACTGCTTCATGGTATCAGAGCTAAGGCTCTAAAATCCTAATTTTTTTTTGTCTAGCGGCGATCGAGCCTCTTCCTCTCTGTTCTACCCTGTTCCCGGGTTACAAAACAGAGCATCACAAACCTATTTCTCAACCTCTCAGTCATCATATCGAATCTATCTTCATCTCTCTCACAAATATCATTCCTATGGCAGAATCCGAGCACACCTCCAGGGACTCATCTGCATCTAATCCCTCTCCTAGTGTTCCTATCGCTCCTCAATTAATTCAGACTACAACTGAAACTAGCCCCATCTCCATCACCTGTCATAAACTCAATGGCCATAACTATCTCCAATGGTCCCAGTCAATGATGATGTTCATAAGTGGATGAGGCCGAGATGATTACCTCACTGGCGCAGCCACCCAACCTAATTCAAGTGATCCGAAATTCAGATCTTGGAGGGCAGAAAACAATCTTGTTATGTCTTGGTTGATCAGTTCAATGACAATCGAGATAGGAGAAATTTTTTTGCTATACACTACAGTCAAAGAGATATGGGACGCTGCACGTGATACTTTTTCTAGCAATGAAAACACAGCCGAACTTTTCCATGTGGAAAGCATTCTTCAGGACCTGTGACAGGGAGAAAACTCTGTCACCACCTATTTCACTACTCTTATCCGTCATTGGCAGCAGCTAGATCTCTTTGAATCACACTAATGGAAGTGTCCTGATGATCGTAACTATTTCAGAGCCATTGTTGAAACCAAGTGCATCTTCAAATTTTTAATGGGTCTTGATAAGTCTCTCGATGAAGTTCGAGGCAGAATCCTAGGGACCAAACCACTACTGAGTCTACGAGAAGTTTTTCCGAAGTGCGCCGAGAGGAGAGCCACAGGCGAGTGATGTTGGGACAACCCAGCCTTTCCTCTTCCCTAGATGTTTCAGCCCTTGCAGCAGCCAAGGATCATTCACCAAATTCCGTTGCACTTGCCTCTCGTGGGATGTCACAAAATTTCAATGAAAATCGTTCAAGAAGAGGACGCCCCTGGTGTGATTATTGCAAGAAGCCAGGCCACCTCAAAGAAACATGCTGGAAATTGCACGGAAAGCCCTCTGATTGGAAGCCAAGCCGAGATCGTGAGTCTAGAGGAAACGCAGTAATTACCAAGACGTCCCAATCCAAAAATCCGATGTCTTTCACAAAAGACCAGTTAGCATTACTTCGGCAGCTTATTAGTAAGGCTAATGTCTCAACTAATCCAACATCTACCAATGTTGGGAACGGTTCAACGCATGGCTCGGGCAACCTTGCACTTCATGTAGCACATTCCCCCTCTTCATGGATAGTAGACTCTGGTGCGTCGAATCATATGACAGGTGATAGATCTCTTTTCACAACCTATTCCCTTGTAATGGTCATCAAACAGTACGTATAGCCATTGGTACACGTACTAAAGTGGAAGGGGCAGGAACAATCCATCTCTCAGACACTCTCACCTTATACTCTGTTTTATTTGTACCTGATCTTGACTGTAATCTCATCTCTGTGAACAAACTAAATAGTGACCTTCACTGTGAAACTAAATTCTTTACCAAATATTGTGTGTTTCAGGACTTGACCTCGGGGATGATGATTGGCAATGCTGAGCTTCGTGCGGGTCTCTATCTCCTTGATGTGAACACTTCATTAGTTCCTGTTTCCTTAGCAAATAAAAATCGAGTCAATCCTCAATGTTGGTCAATTCATCGTCTCAAGTCAGTCAGTCAGTCAAATAAGGATAGTACAATTATGATGTGGCACTCTCGTCTTGGTCATCCTAATTTTTTGTACATGCAACGATTGTTTCCATCTTTATTCATTAATAAAAATCCTAATTTATTCCATTGTGAAGTGTGTCAACTTGCAAAACATACCCGAAGCACTTATTCTCCACGACCCTATAAACTAATTCATCCTCTCTCCCTCATTTATGGTGACATTTGGGGACCAACTAGAATTCCTAATATTACTGGTGCTCGATGGTTTTTATTGTTGGTTGATGACCATACACGATTATGTTGGACATTTCTTATGAAAGAAAGCATTTCCATGCTATGGTCCAAAACCAATTTAAAACCAATATTCAAATTCTCAAAACTGACAATGCTAGAGACTTCTTTAATTCTATTCTCGGTCCATATCTCAAGTCCCATGGTATTATACAACAAAGCTCATGTGTTGACACACCACAACAAAATGGTGTAGCCGAACGCAAGAACCGTCATATACTCGAAATTGCTCGATCCTTGCTTTTTCAATCCAACGTTCCTAAGAAATTTTGGGGCGACGCAGTC